GGGATGGCGTCTATCGCCTGTATGGCGGACAGGCGCTCGAGCTGAACCTCTTGGCGGGCTTGATTTGTGATTCTGAGCCGGGCGAGGCTGCGGAGGTCTTTCGAGGAGAAGCAGGGCTCTCAACCAGCAGTGCCGTTTCGGATGTGGTTTCAGGCTGGTCTCCCCGCCGCCTTGAGCGCTTTGATGGGAGGAGCGATGCGCTGTGGAAGCCGGAGGAATGGACTGAGGTGATAAGGGTGTGTGCAAAGGCGCCGGATGGTGTGGTGCCCAAGTGCGAGCTCAAGATAGCACAAGAAAGTGTTGACTCCATGATCGAGCACGATCGCCTTCAAGTGCAGCCTGTTATCAGCTGGGCTGAGAGCAGGACTGATCAAGACTTAGATTCCTATCCGCTTGTCATGCCAATGACAAAGGCAGAGCACCATGGGATGAAGCGGCTAGCCCGTCAACTTTCTTAAAGCATGTAATCATAGTCAATTAAAGTCAACGAATAGTTATCTATAACTTTAGTGTTCTTAAGGATAAACTTATCTGATAACTTAAGGAGTAGTTTTTCAGTCCGAATTTACTCACCTTGTAATCCCACACATTCATTTAGATTTTTCAACAAGAGCTAGGTAAAGTCGAGCCTTTGTTCTCAAACATTGCTATAATTAATTAAAGATTCTTTTGTGATAAGCTAGAAGGAATTGAAACTAGAACATATGTCGTTAAGTTTAAGCCGGGGTTTTCGCTCCCCAGCCCTAACCCAGGAACTCACGCAAGCGAGCGCGCTTGGGGCGAAGAGAGGCGGCGATGAGCGTCCTGACGCTGGATCTGCGGCCTGGCGCTGGCATCGGCGCCTTCAGCCTAGGTATGGTTCCATCCTCCCGCGCAATTGACCTAGAATTCTTCTCTCCGGGCGTTAGCTGAGCTTGACTCTCGAGAAATTCGTGTCCAGGGATGCCAGTTTGTGAGGCGCTTGCTTATATCGAGCAGCATCACTCCGTCTTTGATGTCGTGCACATCAAATTCAACGACGAGGTGAAGAAAAATTTCTTTTTTCTTTCCTTTCTCCTCATTAGCGACACTCGTTCAGGATCCGCTACAATTCGACCTTGTTATAAGCTTTCCAGAGCATGGATTTCACCTTCGTTTCGAGCCGCGGACGCAGGTCTGCGATTTTCTTGCTTTTTTTTCTTCTTGCTTTCTCACCAATGGTAAATGCGTCTATTCTAGAGGCTTCGTCTGATAGAAGTATATGATGTCCAACGCTTGCAAATGCGGTATGCCACGTCCTCGATTGGGTGAGCTCGCTAGCGTTTTTCTCTCCTTGATGGAATTTCTCGAGACTTACACTTTACAGAGGTCCCAGTGTCGCGGCTACCTTCGTTGCCGTTTACGCACTCTTTGGCCCAACGTTTCCGGGATCGTTCGATGCAAAGCGGAATATCTATACTCTCTTCTATCCTGTAAGCCTTGTCTTTCAAACTTTCCAGCCTGAAGGTGGGGCTTTATGATCATCTTTGCTTGCAGGGCCTGGCGTTCACATTTCCGATTCCTGGGCAGTACACTAACTGCTGCCAAGATCGAGAAGGTAAGAGATCTACGTCCTGCGCATAATGGCAATGTTTCTGACTTTCATTTTTTCGTTTTTGGCTAAACCAGCTGAGCTGCCTATTGAGTTTCCAGATGGAACTACTCCTGTGATGTCTCGCGTCTGTATATATGACGGTGCGCTTGGTGGTAATGTGGAGGCTGGCGCTAACCTTGCGGCCCTGATAAAGAAAGCCATCCCGCCGCAACTACCTTCAGGAAGTTTATACATGGAAGAAGTCCATGCAAAGGTGTTTTGACTTTGTAAGTTTCTTATGCCTGCCATCTAAACTTCTTCTCTTTTGCATTAACAGCTCGCTGAGGACCTGTTCTTTACAACCAGTAAGAAGCGCTTGCCGTTTGGAGCGTCTCCTCAGGACGTGTGGGCAGAACTTGGCCGCCCCGACGGAATTCATCAAAAGCAGGTAACTATCGATATGAGAGAGAGAATCAGTCACAACAATCTTTTCGTGTTACTCAGGTGGATCCTATGGTTATACACTCGGCATCGGATCCGAGGCCGAACTCAGCCCTTTGTGGTGACTACTTTTACAACTATTTTGCTCGTGGCTTAGACATCCTTTTCGACGGTCAGGTGAATAATTAGTCTTTTTCTTTCCGAGTTTGTGACTCTGGAAATTTCTATCACTGCAGACACACCGGATTAAAAAGTTCGTCTTGCACACGAACTTCCCGGCCCATACCGATTTCAACTCCTACATAAAATGCAATTTTGTTATACACTGCCCATGTAAGTATTCAGTTCTGAATCGGTGTTCTTACGATGACCCCTTTCTCTAGTGACTGGAAGCGACGAGAAAGATTCACACTATGTCATAACTGGCGATACAAAGTGGCCTCAAATCCAGGTTTGAGGCTTAGCAAGCTTTGCTTTTTCGATCTAGTCTCGAGTAATAACCCGTGTGCTTTTGTGTATCTAACAGCAGCTCTTGGGAGACGCCGGCCGAGCAGCCATTCAAACGCAAGGCTCGGTTAGCAATCCGTTCGGGCCAACCTTCGTCTATGGCTACCGAAACATCGCATTTGAAGTAACCATATTCCCAAGTCTCTCTTTGGAACTCACTATGTTTTTTTCTTCTTTGTTTCTTGTATGTAGGTTATGAAGAACGGCCACATAGCAACTGTGACACTCTTCCAAACGAATTAGAGCGTCGCAAGAACCAATCACTCTCAAAACTCTCAAACTGTACAGGATTGATGTAAATACTGCCCATCGCTTCGTGTGAATACGAATAATACAAGAAAGATGTTCTTGATTTGGTGTTCTTGGTTAGCTACAAAGTTTCTTAAAAAAACTACCAGGAATCGAGAGCTCGATGGTTGGTCAGCTCTAAAGTAGAAAAGAGAAGAAAAAAAATTTACACTGGATCGTCCATTCCTTTTTTTCACAATGCCTCGTGACACCCCGCCGTTTGCAAGAGCACTGCTTTGATCTCTTCGGGGGCGATCTCGGCATCGCTACATTGCTGCTAAACAAGCCACCATTACCATTTGCACGAGAGGAAAAGAGAACAAAAAAAGAACTTATACCTCGGCACGAAAGACGTCGAGGACGAAGCCATTGAAGCAGCTGATAACAGCCTGCTGGACGTCCAGGCCAAGATCATCCAGAGCTCTCATCGTGGAGAGCAAAAGGCCTGGCGTTCTCGCGCAGAACATATGAATGTTAATTCCCTTGCCATCCCTTGTTCTCACCTCCACCTACAAAGACAAAGCCAAGGGGAATAAAAAAAACCATGAGAAAGGAACCACTTGGTCTTATACTACTATAGACTCCTACTATAGTACCTTTGCTGGCTGGAGATCTGTAGGAGGCCCGGGGAGCAACGGAAGCGGGGAGATGCTGGACGCCGGACATTCCTCCTTGACGCAAGGAGCGAAACTTTGGGGCGAAAGCAACGCTCCGGATTGCTGCTGTGGCGGAATTCCCATGCTCCCTCCATCTGCTGGGCCTTCCAGCTCGCTGTGGAGCTCGTTGATCCTCTGGAGGAGCTCCTTGAGATACTCGATCGCGTCACCCAGAATAGACGCTCTATCCATCTGACAAAATCAAACCAAGTTGAGAGTGAGTGAGAGCGAGAGGAGAAAAAGAGGTAAAGGCATGGAAAGAGGAGCGGGCGAGTGAATGCCAAGTTGCCCGAGTGGTTTGAAAGTACTCACCTTTGTAATTTTGGGGACCACCGAGCGAAGCATGTACAAGCGATCATTAAGCTTCTTCCGCCGTCGCCGCTCCGCCATGAGATTCTTGGCCGGAAGGCCCTTGCGATTCCCCCGGCCGGAAGGGCCCTTGTCCGCCACCTGGTGGCCGCCCATCGCCTCGTCATTCTCGCACAGAAGCCCGGATCCATCGTCCATCTCCTCGTCCTCGCGGAGCTCCAGATCGACGGTGGCCATGTCGTCGGACGCCGACATCACCGGGCTCCTCTTATGGACCAGCGGCTTCTTGCTCGGGCTGCTCGGCGGCGGCGGCGCTGGATGATGGAGAGAATCGTCGCCCATCTCGAGGGAAGAATCCGGCGGCGCTTTGATCGCCCCTACGGCTGCTGCTATGGATGGAGATGTTTGCCCGCTCCCTGTATGCTGCTGCTGCTCGTGATGGTGATGGTTGTTCTTCCCGGACTTGGGCTTGGTCACCACCGAGGAGTGATCCTTGAATTCTCCTCCACTGCCACCTCCAAAGCAGTCGCCAAAAATGCCATTGCCGCTCTTGATCATCCCAATGCTGAGGCTGCTCCCAATTCCACTGAAATTCCCAAAGCTCGCGCCAGTGCTGGGGCCGAAGAGAGCTGGGAAGTCGAGGATCTGGCTGCCCGCCATGTCGGGCAGGAAGCCCGAGTGGAGATTGGCCACCGAGGACGAGGAAGAACACGCCGAGGAGGAAGCGGTGGCGTGGTGGTGGAAGCCGTTCCGGATGGGAGGCGGCGGTGGCAGCAATCCGGGCGAGAAATCGGTGATGAAGCAGCCGCCGGGCATGGAGGACTCGTCCAGGAAGGCGGACAAGCCGGTGGACCTGGCGTCGGATTTGCTGGCGGAGTTTGAGGCGGCGGCGGCGGCAGCCATGAAGTGGTGATGCGAGGGCTGCGCTCCTCCTCCAGCGGCGCTAGGGTAAGAAGGCATGTCATCGATGAGCGAGCCATCGTACCAATCCTCCTCAAACGAGCCGTGGAGTGCCTGATCGACCACCATAGCCTGCGCGGCAAGGGAAATTTCTCATCCAGGCGATCGATCACGCGGAGATCCAAGAAAGAATACCTTGTGCGGTGGCTGATGCTGCTGCTGCTGCTGCCGATCGTCCCCTATCGGCACCGTCCTGCGAAATTTCGAATCAAACAGTGAAAATTTCGGGAGAATCGCGGCAAGAACAGCACCTCATCTCCGATCCCTCGCCCCAGATTCCCTCCCTGCACAAGACGCTCGCATCCGACGCCATGGAATGAGAGCGCGCGCGCGCCGCGATGGTCGATCACCTCTCGGATTTCGGCATCACGAATGGCGCATTCCCGTCCCTGCGATCGCGATCATCTTTGTAGATTCGCCAGCGCCAAATTCTTTCTTGGCGGGGCGGCGTTGCCAGGCACCGCCCAACACGAAACACAAGGAAGCAAATCAAAGAAAAGGAAAAATTCACCGCACTTGAAATTCTTACCATGCGAGCTCCGTTTGTGTGACGGAACCGTCAGCCAAACGAAAAAGCGCGCGCTCCGTCCGGGCGACTGACGCCGCTAGACCGTCGGGCGTCAGCCACGTCGGCGTGTACGGCGCCCGTGCCGTCGGATCTTACCGCATCGCACGGCTCCTGCAGCGCCACGGCGGTCCTCGGCATTGAATGCCGCGAATGCGACGGGTTTGAAGAACACACCAACCCGTTCGTACCATCGTCTAGATCATGTATCGTACGGACGATGATCAATCCTATTAGGAGAACTTGCAATGAACAAGAAAAAAAGGGGAGAACGAGGAACGATAGCTGCCGTGCTAGTCCCAAAGAGGAACGTCAACTTCATTAGGTCTTAATAGGTGGTGGGGCAAGATTCTGGAAAAAGGGAATCTTTACATACAGGGGCTTCTTCGATTTGATCAGTGCACCGCCTTCTCAAAAGCAGACGTATGCAAGCCCATGAAACAATTAGGTTGGAAAAGTTGGCGCAGTGGAATTCTCTGATTGCTTGGAATGGAATGGAAAGAAGATTGATGGACTGGTTGATTGATTGATTGATTGATTGCGTCCAAGCGTGTGGAACAACCAGACAACGTCATCCATGTGAGAGAAGCTTTCGCGCACAGCTTTGCGGGGGGGAATTTTTGCAGCATCTCTTTTGTTCTTCGTTTTATCTTCCCTGCGGCTATCAAAGAAAAAAACAAAAGCAACGCCGCGACACAGGAAGGAGGATCAGAAGAAGCAAGAGGAAACAAACATATATACTTCTCTTTTGTGCTTACGAGCAAGACGTTATAAGTCGCGTCCTAATGCGACACTGGATCGATCGCTGCTGCGGCTGTGCTGTGCTTGAATGGAGCGAAGGATGAGGATCTATCTCTGTCGAGCGAAACTGACGTTCGCCCATCATCTCACTCTGGTGTTTTGCTCAAGTAATCTCGGATAAAAGTCGTTCTCCCTGACACACAAAACACGCAGAGTATAAACTTTTCAAGTGTACAAGCAAGAACCTGTTCCCGGTTCTTCGAGCTTTGTCGTGTGCTTCATAAATGTAACCAATCGCTGGCTTCCCAAATTCGCCTCCTATTCAGGTCAGCCACATCAATCAGATAAACTCACTCGGAGTTTTCTAAAGAGAAAACAAAAGCTTGTTTTCTCGAATAAATCTCTTACCAAACAACACGCTCGCCAGTGTGGTCACCACACTCACATGCAAAAATCCGAGAGAGTGCACAAGAGAATCTAGCAAGGTGGTGGAGCTGCACAGACAAACGAAATCCGAGATTTGTAAGTTTTCCTCGTCTCGAGATGCGTAAAAAATTGGCTGGAAAGCGAGAGACGGGAGAAAAGGGAAGAAAACAAACAAAGCAACCAACCTGGATGGACGAGGAATTGGGAAACAACGCCGTACAGGAAAATTGGCGATTCTTGAGGTGCCTCCTGAGATAGATCTGGATGGCGTTTCTTTAGCTCAAGACGCACGAAGCTTCTCTTTTCGGTGACCACTCGGGAACACCTACGAGTATTAGATCTGCAGAAAAGAAAGAGAGAAAAGATAAAAGCCAAACAACAAACAAAAGAGAAAGCCAGCCTTGCTACCTTTGTCCTTTTTCTCCAGCTGTTGGAATTTCATCCTTGTTGATGAGTTCGGTTCCTTTGCACCAAATGCCGCGAGGGGAGGTATGAATTTCCTGCACATTCAATTCCCAAGAGCTTTTAAGATCCTTTCTTTCCTTTCCCTCGCGAGCGAAATGAAGAACTTGCCGTTGAAGTGGAGTCGAGTGTGTCAAAACTTTAAAACCAATGAATGTCAAACCCTGTGGACAAATCTTGCGTGTTCTGTAGCTTCGAAGCTGGGAGAGGAAGCATTATTCATGCGTGATGGCTGGCTGGCACACGCCTGTTGACAAAATCTACACTGATTTGTCAAGAATCTGGGGCAAAAGCAAAATTACCTGGCTGTTCTTGAGCGGCAATTTAAGTCACAAATCTCTTTCCAAGTTGTGACCTCTCCAAAGACTTCCATTAGTTTTTGATTTCCTAATTTTTTCTTCCTCCTCTTTTCGCTGCGTATTTCCTGCACAGCAGCAGCTGCAGCAGCAGCAGCATCATCATCTTCGTTTCTAACAGAATGAAATGGAAATGCTTAAAACAAGTCACCTCTGTTGGCGACAAGGACGACGCTCTCTCTCTCTCTTTGCGTTTGCGAACGAGAGACTAATGTTCTTCCCGCAAGCGCAGATGTTAAAAATCGCGTTCGTCCCAAGTTTTAATGTCCTATGCACATGCCAGGAATTGAAATAAAAACTCGCGACAGCGACGCGTCTGGATCCAGCAGCGCAGCGAGCAAGCAGAGCGGCAAAAGGAATGTCAACCTCGGGAGCTATCGGATCAAGATGATCCTCCCGGAAACATCAGCGTCAAGAGAAAAGAAAAAGAGGCACACAAACAACAAAACCATCGGTCGCAAGCCAGGCGACGCGGCAGCGCCAATGCAGCGCCGCAACAGTAATCTAATCCACCCCCGAATCTAAAATTCAATGCTTACCGGAGCCCTACTACCGCCCGCGCCCATCGCCATCGCCATCGCCATCGCCCCCAAAACCCTAGAACAGAGTGTTAGGGCTTTAGTTTTAAATTTGGAATATTCACCACTACTTGGCGCGGGATTTTCGGGTGCATTGAACTTGGATGCCCAGCATAAAGAAATCCAGCCCTGTTTATACATTTTTCTCTTTGTAGCAGAGTCTTTTGTAGGGAGCACCAGCTTTACTCCTTGCATTGTGGAATTCACCAAAAAGTATAAAATAAACAGCCAAATTATAAAATAAAACTCTAAAAAATAAACCAAGAGAAAATTTCAGATGCGTTTCATAAGGCGCCTCCCAAATTCGCGGCCTGGCACCAAATTTCTTTAAATCCGCTGCCCGATTGATTGATTCCCATGGGTTTAGCTTCGGACAGCTCAAAGACACAAGCCTTTCTATTTTTATCTCCCCGCAAACTAAAGAATCACTAAAATCAAGCCACAAGCCACGACTGGGTCTCGGCACCGCCCTCCACGGCCATTAAGGTCTCTTTCCTAAAACCATGAAAATCTCTCGATCGAATCCATATCGAATTGTGTGTTTGGAATAAACTGGAGGCACAAGCGGCCAGCGAGCAGACACCAAATGCCACATCCAAAAATTCCACACCACCCCACCAACAAGCAAGGCGCCGAGTTGACACGAGTACGGCACTAGACAATCCCCGTACGGACGCCTTTGACTGGCCAGTCTCGGCAATTAGAAAGAAAGAGAAATGGGAAAAGCTTGAAATGAGGCAGAGATTTAAAGACAAAGAAAAGAAATCCTGGCCGCTGTCCCCAGCCTTGTCGTTCGTGCTCTTGTTGTTGCCACTGTTGCTTGTGGCGAGGCATGGCACAGAGAACACAGTGGCCCCACATTTTATGATAGACAAAGAAAAAACATCGAGTTTTGGGCATATAAAGGGCTGCGGGCCGAGATCAAGGGAATCAATCGGGATAGATAGATTCGCTGGAGATTCGGCTGCTTGAATGAGGACACTAGCAAGGAAGGCGGGAGCAAATTGCCAAGGGGAAGACGAGACATTCAGTCAGTCGAATCAAGCGGAATCGGCATTATATCTCCGGCCGTTACAGACTTTTGGAGAGAAGAAGGTGGCGGACATTGAGTGATTGATTGAGAGTCCAAGCTCGCCAACCAAAACGGTTGTTCCTGGAAAGGGGAATCTAACTTACCCCGGTCTCCAGGTCTTGGTCTCTTTTAGGTCAAGTCGTTTAGGTTCTCTTTTTAGGGTTCTTACGGTAAGAAAAAAAAAGAGCTTTGACCTTTTGCAAAACCCTAAAAAAAAACTGTCCGGCCAGCACTCACATGCCACTGCCAAATGCCACAGATGTTACTCCAGACAGCCAGTCAAGAAAGCGACACACATTAGCTTACCATTGGCTACCCAGTAGCACACAACAGCTATAACAAAAATCAAATAAGAATTTTTACGAAACCATTTCTAGACGTACAGTGTATAGCTACGAAATACGTAAACTGCAGAGCGGGGATATTCTCTAACAGATTCCTACGCCACCTACCTTATTCATTTCCCAATGAAAAACTATTATATTGTAGCCCTAACTTCGACGTAACGCTCATATACTCTAGTTTTTCTTGCATTGCGCCTTGTGGCCCCGCATTATTGAACGGAGCAGAATTTAGTGGATCTTCCAATGTGACTGAAGTTTCCAAGCATCAAAATCAATCAATCACGAAACAATATATATATATATATATATATATACAGAGATTTAAGATAAGCTTTGCCTGCCTCATCCTTTGCGCACATTGGGAGGAGCGCGAATTTAGACCATATCCCCTGCTGCACAACACCGAACCAAAGGCTGGCCCCGGCCGGGGGCATATTCTAATCGCTTTGACCTGGAATCTCTCCGGGACGAGTTAAGAAATGTTGTAACCCAGCATTAGGATCAATCAGTGTATCCCATTTGGATAAACTAGATCAGAATAAGATAGTTTAATGGCCCTAGCAGATGATAACAACAAGCCCTACGACGAGCAACCAAAGTCTAGCCAGCAAAACGTCGTTGGGGTTCTCTGCGTTTGTCCGGAGATTTTATTGCTGGGTTGGGCCTCTCGCGTCTCTCGCTTTATACATGAGAAAGAGAGGAGGAGCGAGAGATCTTGCGGGGAAATCTTTGGGCAGTGGCTGCCGGGATCGAGACTGGAGATCTTTCTTTGGGGGAATTGATGTTCCTCCAAGAAACTCCATCAATGGCATGACAAAAGAACCTCGCGATCATGCCAACCAAAGCCAAAGTCCCATGTTGTTGGGATTTCACACAAAAAGGGATTTTTTAAAATAAAAAAAAACGGAAAAGAGAGAAAATGACAAAAAATGGCGGGAGAAATGCCAGGGAATATTCGCGCGGCACTCACGAAAAACCAAAGGAATGACGACACTGGGAAGCGGAGGGCGACTAGTATCTGGGAAATCTTTTCGCGCACCGTGTGAAGAGGGCGGGTCCGTACCCGACACCCGCCACGTGGCGCTGGACCATGACGCTCATCGGGAGGGCATATCTACGGCGACTGTCGCGCGGCAGGTAGGGACCACCCACACTCGCGGGGGGTGCGATTAAGCCCCTTGATGCGGTCATAATAACCGTCGGATTCTCCTAAATCATGCCCCTCTCGGACGACAAAGATTGTTGAAACGACGGCCAAGATTCCGCCGGCGGGGCCCACACGTGGCGCACATCGTCGCCGTCCGCAGCCGGCCGAGCGCGGCGGGGAATGCCGTCGCGATGCAGCCGACGGCCACGATCGGCCCTTGGCACGGAATGTCCAGGGCGTGCGCTTTACATTCCATGGCCCTTCTCTCTTAACAACAGGGATGGATAGATAGCCCACAGACAGACACAACAGAATACAACAGGTTGGGAGGAAGAGACCAAGAGAGAGTGATCGATTCATCGCGTTGTTTTGCGCCTTGCGTCCGTGCGCGTGTCCATCGATCGATCGATCGCTCGGGTTCTTGCAATCCATCCATGGCGCCGGCTGTGAGCTCCTCTCTTCTTTCCCCGCGGGGATCCGTTCTTTGTGCGAAGAAAACGGCAGCGCCAGCGAGCGCGATCTTCCTCTTCTAGCGATTGCGAATGGAGGGATTGATGTGTGCGGCAGCCAATCCATGAGCGGCATTCGACTGTATCGATCGATCTAGCAGCGCGTTTAGATCTTCCCTCTCTTCTTTCTCGAAATATTTCATTTCCCCCTCTTTGCCTCGCAATATTTCCATGGCAGTGCCCTCGGATCACCAGCACCGGCGCTCGAAGAAATCCAAGAACGGGCAGAAGAAGCAGCCGCAGCGAGGGCTGGGCGTGGCGCAGCTGGAGCGGCTGCGAATCCAGGAGGAGAGCAAGAAAGCGATGTTAGCATCGTCGTCGTTCGCGGCGGCCGGATCTTGCTTCCAAGCTCAGCAAGGTCGGGTCTCGGCGCTCTGCCTCTCGGCTCCTCATAATCCTCCTCTCCATCTCCATCACATCTCCCCGGCGCAGCAAGGATCTGGCGGTGGCGCTGCGGCGGCGTATCGCCCCTCGAATCTCCCCTTCCTCGCGTCGCTAGGGACGAGCGCGAGCTCGAGGCAGCATCACAAGGCCAGTCTCGATCCTAATCTTGCCAATATTTCGCAGCATTCTGTGATCCATCAGCTGGATCATGCGCTCATGGCGAAGATCCATGGCCAGGCCTCTGCCGATAGCAGCTCTTGCAAATCCGGGATCTCATCCGATGTCTCGGCTGCTGCTACCGTTGCCGCCTCTCACCACCTCTTTGGAAGACGCAGTGGAAGATCCTCGTCCTCTCCATCGCCGTGCTCGTCCCAGCACAACAGCAAGCCCGATCACGTCTTCGACGAGAGCGATGAGTCGAGCAGAGGCGCCGCCGCTGCTGCTGCCCCACCGTTCGTGTTCCTGGGATCTTCATCCTCGTGCTCTTCCGAGGCCAACCACAGGAACACTACTATCCCCTTGATGATCCAGCCGGGGAGCAGTAGCAACAACATCATCAAGGACAACCTTCCGGAGTCGTCCGAGATGTTTGATCCATTGTTTCGGACTCGCGCTCGGCGGGTCTACGGTGATGGCAGAGATTG